CCACTGCTGAGGACCTTCTATGACACAAGAGCAGACTCAACAGACTGATCAAAAGAGCCAGCTCAGTCTGTGGCTGCCCCTTGAACTCCACTGAAGTGGCGGGAGAGAGGAGGGCACTGGCCAAAGTGTCTGCTATCATAGGAAGCACCTCCCACCGTCTGCATCAGACTGTAAACTCATTAAGTAGGGCATTCAGCGACAGACTGTTACACCCAAAGTGTAAGAAGGAACGTTTCCGCAGGTCTTTCACCCCAACATCAGTCAGACTTTACAACGCTGCACCATAGACCCCACTGGCACCTCTGTTACTGCTCTGTTACTTTTTTCCACCAACAAACCCATTCCACTATGTGCAATAACTGTTTACCACCTCAGCTTGTGTATATGGTCTTCTTAAAAAATAAATAAATAAAAAATTCTGTATATTAATGTTTTTTTCTCTTGCAACTTTTGCACTGTGTGTTTCTGTTTCTTTTTCCAACAATTTGCACTGACTGTAGACTTTTTTCCTTTTGGAGCTGTTGTAACGGTGAACGTTCCCCCACTGTGGGATCAATGAAGTTTATCTTTACCTTCATCTTAATCTTTAAAAGGAATCTGTGTACAGTGACTCTGAGAAGCTCATAGCCTTTGATCAGTCACAGAAAGGATAAAAACACAGAGGCGAAGGTTTATGTGATTTAAACAGCTGCTTGAGACATTACACCTTATTAAATGTGCCAGAGGAAAATAAAGATAAAGATAAAGAGGACTGTGTTGGAGTTGGTGAGGATTTGGTCTAACAGAAGCCTTGTATTCATTAAGAGACACTCCACAGCTGTGAACGTGACTGCAGGTGGACTGATGAACCGTGACGCGTGGGAGGATGGAGAAATTGGCTCAGGATACGGCCACAGTCATCAGGGCGTGTTCTCCCAGTCATGGTATAAATGTTGCACAAGGTTGTAAACTTTACAGTACAACTGAATCACTTCAAAGAGCAGGAGGCAGCACTTCAGGAATCGAACAAGGTTTGATAAAATCATTGCTGGAATATAAGGAGAACACCATTAAATGCTGGTGATGAGCTTTGCTTTAAAAAATGTTTAGAATTTGCAGTATATAAATGTCACTCTCACAACTGACGTTAATTGTCTTCACACTGTCAATATTCTACTGTTAAGTTGACAGGCTGTCTCACATGAACTGTATTTCAGTAAAATGATCTGTTTTTTGCATCACAATTTCTATACAGTTGAATTCAAGACAACAACAAAACATGTGCATAAACAGAAGAATTGGTATTTTGTTAGAATTTAAAATAAAAAAATGTAGGCTTGCATTTCAAAAATATAAATACAAATAAGTGGGAATGACACAAATGTATCCAAAGATATTTGTTCTGTGGCTTTATTCATGTAGTAAGAGTGTCTGTGCATAGAGATCAGCACAGTGCAAGTAGTCATTGCTGGAATAAGCAGGGGATTGATCCTTGAAATGGCTTTCCAGCTAAGACACACATTTTCAAAATCATGCCAGTTTTATTTTATTTTTTATTTTTTACAAACTCAGTTGAACTCCCAAGTAACAAAGAAGTGAAATCTGAGACAGTGCAGTGTCTACACTTAATCTAAGGCTTATTGCTGTGTGTCTGTGGTGCAGATTATATCTGATGGTAAAGTTTTGATAATTCAACACAGTCAGTGTGGAGTGTGATGTCATTTGGATGATCAGTGGGCTGTTGATCAAAGGAAACCAAGAGAAGAAGTGACACAAAAACCTTTGTAAAACCTTTGTATCGTGCTGCTGTGACAAACTGCTTTCTTTGTGGAACAAATTAGAAGAGGCATCGGGACCCATTTTGTCATGTGTGCCATTAAGGTGGCTCGGTGGTTAGCACCGTCAACTCACAGCTAGAAGATCCCCAGTGAGGACATCTGGGATCTTTCTGCTTGCAGTTTGCATGTTCTCCCTGTGCAGTGTGGGTTCTCCGGCTTCCTCTCGCAGTCCAAAAGCATGTTGAGGTTAATTGGTGATTCTCAATTTTCCGTAGGTGTGAGTGTGAATGTGCTTGGTTGTCTGTCTCTAAGTGTAGTGTATCCTGAACAAGAAAAAATAAAAACAAAGTATTTTACTGTTGTCAATGTTCTCTCTAGATGAGTAACTTGTTTAATTCCTTATTAGTGCATTTTGTACAGACAAAGTGTCACAAAGAAAGTGGTCATGTTTTTGTTCACTTGACTACAAGGTAAAGTCAGAAAATGTTTTTTGTTTTGTTTTTTTCAGCAGAGATGTCCTCCCAGGTCAGACTGATGCTGCTGCCGAATGCCAGGTGTTTTTTTGATGATCCTGTTCAGGTGACGGTGACTGGACTGAGGTCAAAGCAGCTAGTCACCATGAAGGCCAGATCAACTGATGATAAAGGAGTGATGTTCAGCTCCTCGGCCACCTACAGGGCAGATGGGAGCGGGGAGATCCACCTGGACAGAGACCCCTCACTCAGTGGGAGCTATGTTGGGGTTGAACCCATGGGTCTGCTGTGGTCAATGAAGGCAGACACTTTGCACAAACGGCTCCATGAGAAAAATCCGTTAATCCCCTACGTGGTGAAATTCTCAGTGCATGAGGAGGAGGAGGGCAGCATGCTGGCAGAAGTGATCAACGAAAGGTTTGTGATTGGAGACGGGGTCAGCAGGGATCAAGTCAAAAAAGGGAACATCCATGGGGTCCTGTTTACTCCCCCAGGTTAGTGACTCTGTTTTCTGTCTTTATATGTTAAAAAACTGAGATTAGCAAGACAAACCATATGACACGGGGAAAAGCCCAAACATCAAACAAGACAACTGTGGTTCAATAACATCTTTTTATGCACATTTGCTCTATTCCTACAGTTGTAAACAAAAGCTTAAATACACTTGTAAAGACCACATATAAACGGACAGTCTTGAATTTCTAATGGAACCTATAGCTCTTTATTTATGATGGAATCATTGAAACATGTCATTTTCATAAAAACAGTCAGGCATTTTGGTTCTTCCACAGATTTACTAAAGATCATCTGGAAATATGATAAAATCTGCTGGCACAAAAATATACATACAGTAACTTGAATTGTCAGTTTTAGTGATCATTATATCCCCTTGAACTAGGAGATGAGGGGAGTAACAAAGAATGCAATAAAACCAGGTTAAAGGAAGAATAAACTGATTATATGGTGCAGCGGGTCCAGGAACCCATGTGCAGACACAGAAGTAGGCAGACAGGCAGGTCGGGTTTTCAAAAAGATTCAATCAAAAAAGAATGAAAACTTGTTTTGAGCAACCATTTTTCCTACACGGTGAAAGTTTTTTTTTTTTCTTTTCTTTTTCTTCCCCAGGGATTTATCAGTAAATGCTATGGCTCCTGAGTTTTGGTTTCTGGTTTTCTTTTGATTTTGTAATGCATTCATGTGTGTTGTGTTTCTTGTCTGTGTTTCCTTTGTCCCTGTTTGTAGGTTTCATGTGCTTTTTCAGTTACTTCCCTTTTATTTTGAAATGGCATTTTCTCATGTGTTGATTGGGTTTTTACTTCTTTACTTCGTTCTTTGTTCTTCTTTTTCCTTCCTTTTGATTTCCCTGAGTAGTTCCGTTCCTGTGTTTTGTCTCCCCAATCAGTTTCAGTGTTTAGATAGTCTTGCCTTTCCTTTTGTCTTTGACAGTTCATCCAGTTTTCCTCATGTTCTCCTGCCAGTCCTTCACCTTGCACCTATGGTTTGTGGTTTTTGTTTTTGCTTTTTTATGTTGTTTTGATGCCTGTGAATTTTTTTGGCTTTATTTTTGTTGGATTGCCTTCTATGTTACCAGCTGCCTTTCATTTATTCACCTGAACACTCCAGTAAGTTTATTTATTAAGTTTGTTCTTTTCCACAACTTGCCTGTTGCGTCTCCTTGGGTCTTTTCTGATAAGCCTTGACAGGAAATTAATAACAACTCCAGAGTATCAATGCTTGTTTCTATTAATCATATTCCATAGACATTAAACCAGTGCAGTTTGCTATTAAAACTTTGATATAACCTGTGACATTGATGTTAATATTTTGACAGATATCGTGCTGAACACTAGCAAGATTTTGGCGTTGGATTGTGACATCTGGAGTGACTGTAAAATTGATTTGGCGGCACTTCTTAGCGCAAATATGTTTTGAAGACAATTTCATGTGGCTCTCTGTCTGATGTATGAAATTATGAGCGCTCAAAATTGAAAAAATGAACACTGACATAAAATGTTGGTTTTATTTAAATATACTGAAGTTCTGAAGGGATCAGGTGAAATTGTATTCACTTTTTTCCACGTTTTGATGATTTTATATACAACAGTTCTTTAAGATTAGTCAATTACCCAAAACACCAAAGCTCACATTAACTGACTTTAAATGACCCACTATTGATGTGAACTTGTGTGTATAGGAAGAGGTCCGTTTCCTGCCGTGTTGGATCTGAGCAGCAGTAGATCTGAGAGAAGAGCCTGTCTGCTGGCCAACAAAGGGTTTGTGGTTCTCTCTATAACTTTGTACAATGACAAGCCTGCCAATCTCAAAGAAATACATCTGGACTATTTGGAAGAAGCAGTGGATTTCTTAAAACAACATTCTAAGGTGAGTTGTGTGATAGGCCAACAATGGCCGTAGGGTTTATTCAAAATGTCTAAGCATCATACCGTTGTGTTTCCTCTTGGTAACTGAGTCTCCTCAGAGACAGAAACACATTGTTTCTCAAGTATACAGGTAATAAGGATGGCTCACTTTCTTTTATCACCACTGATTTGCATGTTTTGTTTTTCTTTGCAGGTGGGCAGTGAAGGAATTGGTGTATTGTCAAGATCAAAGGGATCAGATATTGCTCTTTCACTTGCTGCTTTTGTGCCAGGTATTAAGGCTGTAGTGTGGATCAATGGCTGCAACGCCAACGTAGCTTTACCTCTGTCCTACAAGAAACGTCAGATCCTCCCACCATTACTGTTAAATTTAACGAAGCTCATTCCCACTCAGTCAGGGGCCCTGAATGGCAAGTATGTTCTTGATAATCCACTGGCAGAAGAGAACAAGGACACCCTCATTCCCATTGAACGAGCCAAAGGCCATTTCCTCTTTGTGGCTTCAGAGGACGACATCAACTGGGACAGCAAGGCTTACATGGATGACATGGTGGAGAGATTGAGGCGTCATGGGAAGGAGAACTTTGAGAGTGTGTCTTATCCTGGAGCTGGACACCTACTGGAACCACCTTATGGACCCCACTGCTACTCCTGCTCACATATCACTATTAGTAAACCAGTCGTGTGGGGGGGTGAGGCCAGGGCCCACGCAGCAGCTGAAGTCCACCTGTGGAAAAAGATCCAGGAGTTCTTTAGAACTCACCTGAGCTGTGATGCTGCACAGATAAAAGCCATGTTATAGATGCAAGTAAGCTGACCAAGTAACAAAAAACTAAGTCATGACATAACACCTGCCAGTTAATCAAAAATAATGATGTGTTACAGTTTAATTCTTTGTGATTAATTGATCATTTTGCACATTAAAAGGCTATAACCAATCACAACCTGCTACAAGCCATGTTGAAAATGTGTGCTTGGCATTTATAGTTCCCCCTAGGGACTTTTTCATAGTGACATGATGTGATAGGTTAGAAGTTGCATTAGAAGAGCTCTGTAATAAACACCTATGTTTTTCAGAACACTGTGCACATGACGGGTTAAATGGAAATATTACTGTGACCTGTTAAGAGTTAAAATGTGGTAGATACACAATACATAATTCATGACAGCTAAAATGGAACGATAAAAAGCTTTAAAATGTATCAAATTAAAAGTTTCAGGGTGGTTAAAAAGTGTGTTAAAAAGGTGACCTTGATAAACAATTGTGTTCAAAAAGGGTAAAATGTTTTAAATAATTCTGTTGAAATCCACATTGTGTGCTTTATCGATCTGTGCTCGACACATGCACCTCAATCGGTTAGTTTGTGATCGATTGCTTTTGTCTCCTCCCACTTTCTCGGGGAATCGCGGAGTTTTCCTCAATGCAGTAAAGTGCGTGTTGAGGAACCGTAACACGATCACTGCTGTGATTATTTCTCCCCTTGTTCAGGTTGGTTGGGCTCATGACAAAAGTATTGTTTTCATGATACATTGTTAATATGTTTAGGGTATCAGGAATGTGTTTTTGTTTTATTTTGAATTAATTAAATGCAAGTTCTGTTGAGTGTAATTGAGCGCGCGTGCAAACAGAGCCGCGGTCGCTAGCAAGTGCAGCAGGTAGCCGCCACATGTGTTTTTGTGTCTGGTGAACGTACGTGTATACACTTGTTATTATATTTTCATGCAGTTTTTATGCTGCTTGAGTTTCAACTGTGTAATGGGGTAAATGTGAAATGTCAGTACTGAGAATGTGTCTGTAAGAGTGTTTGAATTTGTGTATATAATTTGATTGCAGTAAAGTGCGTGTTGAGGAACCGTAACACAATCACTGCTGTGATTATTTCTCCCCTTGTTCAGGGCCGTAACAATGACACTGGTTTAGAACAAGGCTACACTTAACTGTCCACTTGTGATTGGAACAGTGGCTTTGTTCTTAGTGTTGCTAATTAGTTTTTATTTTTACTTGTACAGTAAAATGGAGGCCCACACACAGTCTGTTCACTGCCTGTGAAATTTGAACAACATCCAAAACCTGCTGCTTATGTAAGAGTAGCATCTATTTCTAATGTCCTCTCTTTAACTCCCACCGTTCACTGATTGTGTGGTGAATATGATTTTCTTTTGCTTTGAAAAGTCTCTGGCGTGTTTTTGCTTGGATGTTGCTCGGTGTGCTTTGCTTGGTTTTCAGTTTGGGTGGTGGTTTAGCCTGGATTGCGCTCAACCACTCACTCGCACCTGGCTCCAATGATCATCAGCGCTGGATAAAGCCTACTGTCACCAGTCCACCATGATTGCGTTCACTCACGCGGTACATTAGCCGTACTCCCAAGCTTTTGTGAGTATTCCCTCAGTTGATCACGGCGTCTAATCCTTTCTTGTGTCTCTTGCATCTGGTTTCTCCGGAGCCACCAGCTAGCCCCCTGCTCAACCTGGCACTGACCAACCTCGCCTCTCAGCCACCATTGGATGTCCCATGCTTCACCTCTCAGCCTCTGAGGATCCACACACCTGTCGAGCCCCTCAACGCACATGCCCCCTACAGATCCTTCTTCCCCCCCTTTCGCTCCTGGACATGCCAGCAACACTTCAGGGATCCCTGCTCCTCCCCAGCTGGCAGAGTACCCTGGACATTCCCCCCACCCCCACTCCAGTATTACCAATGAAATCTCCATTTCCCTGAGTGCCTGTTGTCTTGCCTGGTTGCTCTTGGGTCCAGACCTACCCCACGGACTAAGATCCGTTACAGATTGTCCACTACTTTGCAAGTCTAATTGTTGATTCAGAAGGCCTTCAAGTTTCACATCATCACTTTTGTGCAAGAACTTCTACCACGTTCCTTAATATTCACCCCAGGAGTTCCTCACAACTCACCTGAGCTGAGATGCTGCACAAATTTAAGCCACAAATAGGCTGATCAAATTCGATCACGACATCATGGCTGCCAATTAACCTACAATATTTTGATATATGGAAAGATGATGACAAATCAACACCTGGCACAAGAAATTAAGTTTTTACATTAAACATAGAAAATGTTTAAAATTGTGTGTTTAGCATTTGTAGCTACCAGTTGTGGTTTAGACTATGTTAAATCATGTTTGCTCAAGTGTAATGCGACAAATAAAGAGTTGAAATGAAAACATTTGTTTAATTCGTATCATTTTTCTCACTCAAATATAAAGACCAGTGCATTAATAAACACTGTGTGTAAACCAACAGCAACACCTAATCCAGTTGCTGAGGGACATTTTGTTAGCCACACATTGACACACATTACATTTATTGCACATTTGTGTACATCAACTACCTCCTGCTTAAGAGTCCATTCATTATCTGCACACTGCTTAATCCTCACTGGGGTCGCAGGGGATTGGAGTCTATCCCAGCTGACTCAGGGTGAAGGCAGGTTCACCTGGACAGGTCGCCAGTCCATCGCAGGGCTAGACTTAGAGACAGACAACCAAGCACACTCACATTCACACCTACGGACAATTTAGAATCACCAATTAACCTCAACATGTTTNTCTTTGTAACCGTGAGAGATAAAGAGCTCATGTTTACTCTTTGCGATACTCTAATAGTGAGATATTCATTTTTAACAGGCTTAACTCTGTATAATTACACGTACATATAGTTCTAAAGTAACATTGTTCCTTTTAGAACAAAACTTCTGCCCATTTGACCCACAGGGGCATCAAATCTAACACCCCCTCTGGGAGGGGAGTTCTTTGTGATTGGTCAGCTATTTCACTATTTAAAAAAAAAAAAGCCACTGGAAAGACAGACAGATTTTCTACCGGCCACAGAGTCTCTCACTTTGGTCCTTTGTTACCAACTTCAACACGCCCAACACCAGATGTCGCTGTACCCACTGCATGATCCAAGGAAACTGCAAGTGTTGAGCTTTCTCTCCTAAACAGGTGCTTCAAAATTACAATTGGCCTTTAAACAAACATTCCAGATTTAACAGTTTATCTGCTGCTTTCAGTGAAAGGCTTTGCAAGTCTCCGGGTTACACTTCTGATCCACATTTGGTTTCTCACCTTCAAATTCTCACTCAGCATTCTCATCATTGTTTGTATTTTATGTTTTATGTTTGTTGTTGTTGTTATTTGATTGTTGTAGTTAGTAATACATGTTTTATGCTTATACAGTTGTTTCCTGTGTTTTCTATAGCTTACTTTCAGTCACTTAACGTATCTGATCTTTATAGTTACCTAACCTCAAATGTAATTCCCTGACATTATAAAACACTCTTGACTGATCACCAAGAGTAAGCAGTTTATTAGAATTGTTGTGCTGACTCAGAGATTATATCAGTGGATGAACAATTTAAAGGTTGGTTTTGATCATTTTAATTAATGCAATAACTTTCTTTATTGTGGAGACAAGTCGACCTTATCTTCCCCTTACAGTTTGCTGTAATGGCTTATTCATTAGTGTCTGGTATACGATGGGTCCACCGACACAGAGCGTGAGTCTGCAAAGGTAAGCCGACCCAGAACAGTTGTAGTGTTACACATTTTATAGGGTATGTCAGAGGGTAGGGAGGAGCTGTATGTAAATACCAGAATGAATAGTGGTTAGTTAGTATACAGCTGCTAATCAATGACAGGAGTACAAAATGACAGACAGCCACCTCTGTGATGTCCTTCGTATCTCAACCACCAAAATGACTCCTGACCTGCCAGCCATCCTTCAGTCCAAAGCGCAGCATCACTGTTCCCACGGAGAGCGACATTGTTCCCACGATAGGTGAGTGAAAAATATAGTACACAGTATTAATGTGTTAACAAGCCCAACTACTTAATTAATAAATTCAGTCAATTAAAGTTGGTAGAACGTTCTAACAAACATTAGTTGATACGTTAACGAGCCCAAAAAACTATTTGCATAACAAGCCTGACATGCACCCGTTCCCTTTCCCACTTGTATTTCCCCCTTTTGTACAGTGCTGTGAAAGGGATCACTATGCCTAAGAAGCAATCTGAGCCTGCTGTTTTGAAAATGAGCTGCCAACACTTTTTAAAACAAAAGAAATGAAAACCCATTCATGGAAAGCTGTGATGTAGACTGTTTATTTCCTTCAAGGGTTTTCAGTTATCAAGCTCAAGTTACCTTCATCTGATTGATTTTGTTAACTTTAACGCACTCAAGGTGAGACAATATCCCCCACCTCAAGTGTGTGGCCCAGCCATTTGTGTATTTTTCTGTAGATGGCACAGTTTGGCAAAGTTTGGACACCCCTGCTTTACAGTATTCCATTCCACAGTTCAATTTAGATTTGTAGCATTGAATTGATTAAATCATCAATCAAGGGTCATTCATCAAGCACAACTGATAAAACATTTTCTGCTTCAAGATTTTAACATGTCAGGATTTGCTGCTGATTTATATCCATCCATCCATCATCTATACACCGCTTAATCCTCACTAGAGTCACGGGGGGCTGGAGTCTATCCCAGCAGACTCAAGATGAAGGCAGGGGACACTCTGGACAGGTCGCCAGTCTATCACAGGGCTACACTTAGAGACAGACAAACTCCTATTCACAATTTAGAATCACCAATTAACGTCAACATGTTTTTTGGACCTTGTGGGAGGAAGCCGGAGAACCCGGAGAGAACCCACGCTGCACGGGGAGAACATGTAAACTCCACGCAGAAAGTTCCCGGGTGTCCTCACCGGGATGCGAAGCGGCGACCTTCTTGCTGCAAGGCAATGATAACCACCGCTCCACCTTGCAGCCCTGCTGATTTATATGATGCACAAAGATACACCGTGTGTTTTTGGATTGTTAGTCAGACAGAAATTATTTAATGTTTTATCAGTTTGATGCACCTTTGGACTATGGACTGTTAGGCACATTTTTGATTGTATTCTCACATGCTATAGTTTCAACTCATCAGTTTTTACGGCCCCCTGTGCTGTATGTGTGTAGGTAGGTTGTCTGTGTTTTGTTTTTTTTTGTTTTTTTTCTCTTTTCAGGTTGCATGCCCTGAGAAGCAATTATGGTGGAGCTTAAAAGCCAAACAGCGCTGATCATCGTTGCCAGTGGGCCAGATCAGCAATGCTGTGAACTGTGTGGTGTTGGTGTCTTTGTAACTTGCCCCAGAAAAGCTTGGGGTGTTTATTTGAATTGATCAGTAGTTTGGTTACTGTGCAGCATTGTGCATCGCTTTGCATCGTAGTTGTCGCCTGTGAGTATTGGTGTTTGTTGTTTTGCCTTTCTTGTTTTCAGGGTTAATCCTGGGCTGGGTTCAGTCCGTGGTGGGGGGTAGGAGTTCAGGGCATGGACTATTGAGTTCAACCTTTCAAGTTGCCTCGAGCCCAGCACGCTCCAGAAGACAGACAGGTAAGATGAGTCAGTCGGGACTGAGGAAGATTTGCTGAGTGTTGTCAGTTGTTGTGCTAAACATTGGTTAGTGTTTTTCATCATGGGTGCTACTGAGAGCAGTTTTAGTAGTATGCTTCATCCCTGTGGTGGCAGTTGATTGTGGCAGGTTGTGTCAGCCTACAGTCTGTTTACGACTGTTGGTGAGTATGGTGGTGTTTGCTTTGACAGAGTTTGTGGTCAATGTGACAGTGGAGCAGTTTGATAAGTGTAGAAAGACTCATTTGTGATTGCGGAGTACTACAGTGTAAGCATCTCGTTATTGCTCGTTAAACAGGAGTTGAAAGCTGTGTTGCTTGATGAACTGGTACGGGAAGTTCATACATCAAAACAAACTGCTTCATTATTCAGTACTAAAAATAATCACTAGTTGAACCTCAATCCAGTTCATTGTAAAGGTTTTGGAATAAATACATCCTGACTTACAGAGAGAAGAAGGTCGATGTGAAACATCTGCAGAGAAGCAAATCCTTTAACTTCTATGTACGACTACAAGCAAAGGTAAATCTGGAAATGAACACTTCATCATGTTGCACTCTGAAAACTGAAATGTGGTTTGATGTGTTTTATCAGAGATCAGAACCACATGGAATCCTGAGGAGATTGAGAATTAGGTTAAAATATTTTCATTGGCTAGTTCTAATTTGAGTCTATTCAGATCTCTCCTCCTGACACACTGAACTGCTTAGATGTGTTGCAGTTGTACCTCAAACTACTTTTGCGACATAAGATTGAGACTTTTTCTAACATTAATCTAAAAATTAGATATCATAATAAGACACAGGTCAATGTCTTATTCATTCATTTATTTCAGTTATTTCAGTCGATTTTCAGTAAACTTAGATTTTTGCAGTGTTAATTATGAAGTAAGTTCAAGTGTAAGTGTACTCTCATCACAATTTACTTTTTCTTTGACTTTCTTATCATCCCATTCTGTGTTTTGTCTTGTTTCATCACAGCTCAGGTGAGTTCTAAAGAACTCCTGGATCTTTTTCCACATGTGGACTTCAGCTGCTGCGTGTGTCTTGGCCTCACCCCCCCACATGATTGGCCTACCAACAAACCCATGGAAGCTGGAGGGACAATAGGGTCCATAAGGTGGCTNCTGACTGCCTAATATGCTCATACCAGACAGCTTTAGTCAGCTTGCTTTAGGGAAAAGGCCTCTGGTTTAGGCTGAATATACAGTTGTGAACACAAGCTGACATGCTCTTGCAAAGACCATGCATGTCATGCCAGTCTCAGGTTTCCAATTATTCCTATTATTCCAAATTTTCTTTGATGGAATCATTGAAGTGCATGAACCTTTGTCGAAAAAAATAAAAAATAAAAAACGATAATAGCTTTTCCGGAGACATGACAAAATTGACAAAATCTGCTGGTTTACAAATATGAAACTAATTTTGGTGAAACGCCTCTTGGCCATTTTCACCCCAATTAGTGCATTTTGAGAGCAGTCTACAAGCTTCTGGTTGTATTTTTGTACACTTCTTCTTACACAGACTCGTGTCTTCCACAGGTTCTCAATGGAGTACAACGCTGAACTTTTTGGTTGCAAGTCTAAAACCTGAATTCTAGCTTGATTTAATCATTTCTTAACACTTTTGACGTGTGTTTGCATTCATTGTCTTGTGGAAACACCCAGCTGTGTCCAAGAGCCAACCTTCTGGCTGATGATTTTAGGTTATTTGTTAATGTTTGATTGCTGTGATGTTTGTGCAAAGTGTCTGCATTCATCGACCAAAG